TACCCAGAGACACACAGCTTGCCAGTGGTGAGACTGCACTTGAAAACAGATTTTGTGCTAGTAGGAGGCTCTACTTGAATGTTAGGCTTCTTGCTAGTTCAGTGGCAAAGTGTCAAGCTTTTCTCTCTTTAAGTTAAGAGAAAGATTTTTCCTTACCTTCCTGCTAATAGTTACATAAAATAATGCCTTGGAAATTGAAACAGTCTGGGATTATGATGTGGGAAAAGGATAAATTATAAAGCAAATAAGATATGTTATTTTCAGGGGAAATGAGACTGTTTTTCTTCACCAAGTGCCCTCGGGTATATATAAGAAATAGATGTCTTCTAATCTTTCTCCTCTTTCTCTTTTCTGTGGCATTTTAAAGCAACCAGGGAACTGAGATCTAGTTCACTGGTTTCAAACTCAATTCCAGGAAGCCCTGATGTTCTTACAGAATGACTGGAGGGACTGGTGGGGGGACCTAACTACTTAGACTTCTGGTCACCCCCAGCCCTTTAGGCCAGGAAGAGTTGCACTTCTCTCTACTTTGCGTTTGGAAGATCTAGGTAGAGTTCACTCAAGGAATAAACAACCATCTCAAAGAAGAATTTTGAAAGCCACACACTTAGCTCAATCCACTCATTAAACTGCAGTTTCAGAGACCCAGACCCAGGAAGGCCAATCCAGGTTAAGGATCCAGGCACTGCACTGCCCCCACCCCCTCACCCCCACTTCTTGCAAATGTCACCCCTACCCTCACTCTCCATCCCAGTCACCTGGTTCCAGTAGCCCAAGCCCACGTTTGGCAACAACCTGCCTCTCTAATCCCACATCCAGCAAAAGTTGCCCTGTTTTCACCAAGGACTTTCCTTTCAGTTTAGTTAAACCATGTGTCTGACTGTCCCTCTGTGGTGGTCCAGCCACATGCAGGCTGTTACCCCCAAGTCTCCTGGTGGTCCATCTGTCCCCTGTGAACTAAGCCATTGTAAGTTTCATCATTGGAGACTTATTGCTAAGTTAGGCTTCAGGTTTTTGCAAATATTTTATTGTCACGCTTAAGCTATATGGTTCCTTTAAAAATAACCTGAGTGGAATTTCCCTACAAGACCCTATTGTCAAAAAGATAATCTGTACTTCCCAGTACTTCCTAAAAATCTTCTTTTACCAAGGAATCAGGGATTTGTTGTAATTTGAGCTCTAGAGTAGGGTGTATTCCCTCTGAGGCTGCAGAATGCCTGAGAATTAGAAGTGGGTTGGCCTTCCCTGGTGGTGCAGCTGGTTATAGCACAGCGCTGTGACGTGATCCGCAGTCACTGCACCAGGAGTTCATCAATCCTGACCAGGTAGCTGACCCACATGGCACAGCAGACCTCTCCTGACCTGCCTGCTGCTCCCCTCAGCAGTATGTTTCAGTCAGTGGGCCTGTTCTGCTCCCCACTCTGTCTCTGGTGCATCCTCTTACCCCTGGCAATCTGGCCTGTACCCCAGTTCTTGTATGTGTAAATAAAATAAATCTTAAAAAAAAAAAAAAAGTTAGAAGTGGATGGGTACCAGACCCCTTTACCCGCAGACACAGGGCCAAGTTACCCACAGGCAGCCTCAGATGCTGCTTAGGTACCAGCAACCAGAGCACCTGAAAAAGAAGACAGAAAAAAAATTTAAATCCTCTGACTTTGATATTTCAAATTAACCCCCTAAGAGTCATTGTAAGAGAAAAAGTCAGAACAGTAGATTTGAGATCCTAGTGTCTTCTTCTAGAGGGGCCATTTTTAATCCTTTTTGGGGTCTCAGAGATCTTTATCTGGCCTGACCTGACTCATCCCTTAGGCCTCCTTCCCAGATGTAGGAGAAAACTGCTCTGAAGTGCCCAGGCCTGCCATTTGCCTACTTCTCTTTGGGATATTGAATTTGCCCCAGGTAAAAGTTTTCACAAATAGTTGGAGAAAGAAGTCCCTTGTCCACTTACCAAACAGGCTCAGTGGTTCAAACTTTCACAGGGTCAGCTTCCCTTCTGTGTATGGGGAGATTTGCCTAAAGGCTTTTGCCCTGGAGTTCAACTCTCCTCAGGCTGGGCAGACCTCCCCCAAAACAGGACAGAGTATTCAGACAGCTCCTGTTAGAGTACAATACATGCCACCACTGAAGAAATGGATGGGCTAGCTCTCAGAAGAGAAATATAGTTAATGTCCATGGGGGGCATGTTTGTATTTAAGAAGATAATATCCCCAAACCTGGAAATGAAAAATCAGTTATCATGAGGAAGTGGAAGATTAACTGTATTCGCTTTACAATTTGTACTTATGTATTTCAAGAATTCAGTTCTCTCCAAGAAAAATAGGGATGGGAGTTTTAATATTTATATTGGTGGATATATGTCTGTGCAAATGATGTGTGATATTTTATGAGTGGGTGTGAAAGTGGGTACAGGACTAAAGTGTGAATTTCTAATACGGATACGTACCCAAAATGTACTCAGTATCTATGTTTGTGTGTGTTTTGAGAGTGAGTGCCATCCAAACAAGAATGTGAGTTTATAAATGTTTGGATATTGAAAAGGTTAACTACACACAACCAAGCAGATGTTTTAATGAGTTCTCAGATATTTTAATAAGTGCCTTGATTTTCATCAGATAAAAGAAAGACAGGAAAAAAGTGATGGATTACTCCTTTTTCTGTGGTTAAATAAATTTTTAACAGCAGAAAACAGACAACTGTTTTAAGCTATGGGATAGTTTTTAAAAATTTAAGTAGGAAAATGATGCCTCCTGGTGAGAATGAGAAATGCAATCTTCCTATGAGGAAGTTTCCTGTCTTTCTTGCTGTTTGTGTACTGGTCTAATGACTAAAACCTTAAACTGAGGAGGAGGGGGAGCAGGGAATTGAGAGGGAGAAGTTGTCCTTTCTGGAATAATTGAAGAGAACCTGTGAAGGGGTGGGGCAGGAGGGGGAGAGCTTGGATGAAGTACAAACCTTAAAGGTCACTGAACAGGAGCTCCACTCACATCCCTCTGAGGAGCTCTGAGGGGAGAGAAGTGTGGCTTGGGCATGAGTTGGTGCTGGGGCTGCCCTTTCCAGCCAAAGACCTGGCAGAGGGGCTGTTGCAACTTGCGCTGCCTTCCCCTCTTGCTTGGTTAGAGCAGCTGATGGTCTCCGTCCCCCTACACTGCCTTCCCATACTCAGCCCTCTTAGCCCTCTCAGCCCTGTGTCCCAAGCCTGAACTAGGACCAATGGACCAAAGTCTGATTTGCGGGCAGATGTAGGGTGACCAGCATGGGGGAGCAGTGGGGACTCCCAGGAAGCCAGCGGGGATTGGCTGCACGAGTCTCAGTGTCTCTGTATCAGCCTGATGTTCCTCTGGGGTGGGGGGGCCCATTGTCCTCCCCCAGGATCATTAGTTAGAGGGTGATGTGATTTCTGCTAGGGGAAATGGCCTGCTTTTGTTTTCCACTCAGTAGGAAATGGAACCTGAATCCATTAGATTCTGGGCAGCTCAGCATTGCACAGTGTGCGCTCCTGGAGGCGCTGAGTGTAAAAGGCGACTGTGCGGAATCCTGTGTCCCGACCACCATTGTGCCATGTGCCTACCTTTTATGCATTTAAAGCCTGTCAGGCTGGTAATCTAAAGCAGAGGTCTACAATGCCAGCAGACGCAGGGAATAGTAAAGTGCACCTGTAGAGTTAAAAAATGCATGACCCTTTCCCTCAAAGAGCAAACAGGGGAGAAAGACCCCATCCTGCAGGGTGGCTGCTGAGCAGTAATACATAATTCACGGGCCCACGCTGCTCCATGCAGATGGCGATCTTAAATCATGATTGATGCTACTAGAGGCACACATCTCAGGAAGGTCTCTGAGAGGCTTCTGAATATTCCCAGATATCTTGTGCCTCCTGTCTCTTGTTCTACTGTGGTATTAAACAACCGCCCCCCCAGCCCCCCTGTTTCACAGTCACCCCTCCTGGGGACTGTAGAACTTTGCTTCTAACTATATGAGATTTTTAAAATATCATCACCCACCTTTTCTGCCTTTGAAGATCACCCCCTTCCCTCCTAGCCTGCACGAAGCTGTTTATCTCCAGCCCCGCACAGCTGGGAAGTGGGAAGTGGGGGGCCCGTCTTTGCCTTGCAGCCGCCTTTCAAGCAGCTGACTGGCTGAACAAAGCGGCAGCACACTCTGGTGGTGGTGACCAGGCAGGAGGGACAGCGGGCATAGAGCTTGGAAAAAACGCAGGCACCCACTCAGCACAAAGCACTGTTGTCGGAACTCCAAAATTGGAGCCAGTGGATTCTTCAATGCAGATTTTTCCACTCAGTGTGTAATGAAATAATAAATCGAATTTGTGGTGTATGTGGAATTAAATGTTTGGGGGATTTGCTTTTTCTTTCTTAAGAAAAAAAAAAAAAAGAAAAGGCTGAAATCACCCTCCAGGGTCTGTTCTGGTCCAGAGCTGAAAATGCTTCCTCCACATCACAAGTAATTGTTACCAGGCTCACTTGTGGGTCGGCACCACAAAACCACGATTGTCAGTTGGAGTCTTTCGTGTTGGCTGCCTGGGCTGGGCTGGGCTGGGCAGGGCTGGGCAACACCAAATATCATGAAGGATTTATGAGATAAAGATAGAGATGAAAGGTTTGAAGAGGAAAGAAGATGGGCCAAGGAGGGGAAATGCAGGAAGGCGTGTTTTAGTTGCTGCTTCTTGTATTTTTTAATTTTTTAATCTCCGAGTATGGAATGGGGAATATTTATGACCATTTTCTGGGATATTTTCATTTGGGGTGTGTGTGTGTGTGTGTGTGTGTGTGTGCGTGTGTGTGTGTGTGTGAGCGCGCCTGCACGTGTTTACTTGTCAAGTGGGGGGGTGGGGAGTGAGCTGAAATAATCTGTGGGTTCGTCTTCTGGACTGCCATAAAAGGTCTGTAAAACAGTTTTAATCAGGCACTGTGAGAGAAGAGAAATGGGAAGAGGAAAGTGGCTGTGACATATTTGAAGTTCTTAGGTTTGATTGCTTTCTCCTTCAGACCCACCCTGCGGAGGTCGCTTGAATTCCAAAGATGCCGGGTACATCACCTCGCCAGGTTACCCCCAGGATTATCCATCCCACCAGAACTGTGAGTGGATTGTTTACGCCCCCGAACCCAACCAGAAGATTGTCCTCAACTTCAACCCGCACTTTGAAATTGAGAAGCATGACTGCAAGTAAGCGCCCCCCCCCCCGAGCGTCCTTGGGACTCATTCCCCCTCCCCCACTGCCCCCCTCCCTCTTCCAATTCCTGCTTCTGTCGCTCTGCCCCCTGCTGGTAGCAGCCCACACCCCAGGCCCTGCCAAATGGTGGATCCTGACCCAGAGAGGAGCCTCCACACCACATTTTCCTTAGGGAGAAATAGAAGCCAGTGGACCCCAGCACGGAGGAGAGAGCCTTCGTGCGGGACTCAGTAAAGCCTAACTCCCTATCTCCAACGCTGGCGGTGGAGAATTCCATGTGGGGCTG